ACATATTTTGATATATCTATATTGGAAATCGAAGTAAAAAAGATTAGAAACTCTAGGCGTGTAAGATACTCGTATGTTTCGTTATTTACATTATAAAGTTTTATTTTAATGGTCATCAAGATCTCTTCAGTATTGGTCAGTTCAATATCTCAATTGGTATACATATATGCCAGGTCCTTTTCAGGGCACTATTGAGGTAAACGTTTTAAATATAATAATACTAGGATTTACCTAATAACTTGCTCTACATTTGGGACAAATAGCTGGTGATGAGAAACATCAAACTCAAATAGCGCAAATTTTGTGCTGGCCTGAAGGCTGAAATCCAATATGAATAACCTACCTACTTCAAGGTACCTACTTCAAAATTATAAACAGTTTCAAGAAGGCTTTTACTAGTAAATTACAGCTATCATTCAACATCAAAACTCACTCCACGAAAAGTCACAAACGATTCGTTTCAAATAACAGGACAAAAAGATCGAATGGTTTCCCCCAAAAAATAAAAGGGAATACACCCTTAATAGAAGTCAATGTATCGCCGCATCAGGCCTTATTTACACCTAGGGTGAGTGGGGAGGCTCGGCAATAGCGGACACAATACGATTCCACAAATGTCTGTCGTATGAATTTCGTTATCGCCGACTTTTTTAAGTAGGCAATTTTAGGAGAGAGGGGACTCTGAATTTGTGAGTTTTCACGCCATTTTGTCAACGGTAATGTGTTGTTTGGTGACAAGTTGAGCTTAAGATATTTAAAAGCATGTCGAATAAACGGTGCGTGATTTTCCTGAAAAAAAAACAAAGCAAGAACAGTCACACAAAACAAAACAAAAAAGATTTTCAGTGAATTTTCTTGCCTTTACGGGACATCGCCTGAAAAACATTACAAATATTGTTAAAACTTGCAATTAAATTGAATACACTACAAAAATACCTCGTAACACAAAAAAAATATCTCTTCGGCATTTACTAAACTAATTTTAACTAGCAACAACATTTACTTGCAAATAGCCCAATCGACTCTTTTTACTCTCAGTAAAATCCAAAATAACACACGTGATGTACACCGAACACACTCGTTAAGGGTGGGCCGGGCTACCGTGGCCATTACGGCGGCTCGACGTAATCAATGCGGTTCGATTAGGGGAGGCTGGGGATAATTAAAACATTACTCCGACGGATTTAGGTGGGGTTTTCGTGTTGTATGTTATTTGTATGTGTACATTGTAAAGCTTTTAGCTTCTCCTATGTAGAATAGAGTTTAGAATTTCAGACTCCATCAACTCACAGGTTTTGGATACGATTCCCTGGTGTGACACTTGTAGTATAAAATTACTTTGTGTATTCCTTTCCAGTTGGTAAAGACCATACAGCCCTGATATAAATATTTTGACTTTCGGAGAGTAATTTAACCTTTCAGACACCTATGGAAAATAAAGAGCTATGATCTTATGTATAACTAGCTTCCAAATTTCATTAAAATCGGTTAAGTGGTTTAGGCGTGAAAGCAAGACAGACAGACAGACAGACAGACGGACAGAGTTACTTTCGCATTTATAATATTAGTAAAGATTAGTATAGATAAGCTAAAATCGAATCATGACTAAACTAAAATCTAAAAATAAATTATTGTACGTCTGTTATTAAGGATTACGTAATGCAATTCACATCGTAATTTAGAAGGAGAGACATTTAAATTGATAATAAAGCTTATACACTCGTGATATGAGCCGTAAAGTTAATCTATTAAATTAATCCATTAACACAAAACATCTGCTCAACAATAACTGAGAAAATCTACTACACAATTAAATATAAAAGAATGTATAATTAACCAAACTAGCGCGTGCCCAATCATGTATTAATCAGTCGTTTAGGTATATGAAACTGAATCGTCAGTAAATTATTTAAGGCTATTGTTTAATAACAATACTAGCTTCTGTCCCTGATTTTGCCTGTAATTTTGATAATTTACGTAAACCTAAAATATCATATCAACCCCCTAAGTTTTCTCTTTCAGAAGGGATTCAAAGAAATAAAGTAGGTAACACGTGTTTCTATGTGAATCGGAGTATAAGATATTTATGTGCCACATATGGCACACGTGTACATGCTTTCAGCCCCTCTATCCTCTTGATAAACTCTTAGTGAAACATATCGATACATTAAACTTAGGTTTAAAACCTAAATTATGGTTCTTTAGATCAGTAGCTATTTTGATTGTGAACGTTGACAGACCATTCACACTCGACACAAACGATTTAGATGCTCGTAGGTACAAGGTACAAGTATAAAACCTACTAGTTGCACTTCCCACCAGTCAGGCATTTCATAATGAAACAATGCAATTGTTTTTGCTACGCATTTGAGTAATAAATAAGTGAAATAACTGAGACCGCGATATCCATGTCAAACCATGAAATCTAGCCGCCATTTATTTACAATATTTTTGAATTATGAGTAGGTAATTTTATAACGAACAGATTGAATTGAGTTACTATGCCAATTAATTGGAATATGTATAGTAGGTACAATGGAAAAATAATAATTTCATACCATTCGATTGTTTCTTATCGCTTTTACATACAAAAGAAATAAGCACGTTTTAGTTAACTTGCCTAGTCAAAACATAAACTCTCCTTTTAATTTCCACGTATTTTTTGCGTTTCGAAATAATCATGTGTATTTCTGTACGAAAACTGACATAAATAGGATGATATAATTCTTTTTTTCTTTCAAAATAATCAACAGAAAAAAATCGACCTTTCATAATATACATTTAAAAGCACAAAAACATAAACGTGAGAGAATCTTTAAAAATGATAAAAACAAGTGCGTGCTAGACACAACAGAAAACAATTGACTCGCAATTATTGTCCGGAGTTATTAACTCCCGGCAAAAAACCGGAACATAATCCAAGGACAAAATTAATATTTAATTTCACATACGTATAATCATTTTGGAAAACGGTGGCACTTAATAGCACGCTGCAAATGAAGTCATTTGCTGAATTATTAAATTAGCATCTTTAATCGGGTTCTGTAATTGAATCGGACCACACTAACGAGTATCGCTGCGTACGCGCCGATTGTAGAACCAGTTGGGCGATTATTTCGATCGGGTCTTGTGACGAATGATTATTGAAACCGTTATTTAAGTAGTTTGAATTAAAATTACCTGTGCCTGTTTATTTCTGAAAAAAGTTTGATAAAGAACTGTCGTATTTTCTGAAAGTTATTGTTATTTTGACGCTCGGCCTATTTAAAAGGTGTATTAAACATCATGACTGTTTAGATGAGGTTTTTTAGTGAAATGTAATGCAAGTAGTTAATAAAAACAGTATATAAATTATTACTAAAAGCAAGCCGTTTTAACTTAGGTGATATAAAAATACAATTTTGATTCGTTATAAGGATTATAAAACACTAATTAAAAATTAAAAATATAAAAAGTACAATATAGCGTTGTTACCAACTACGAATTATGCTTGTAGTAACGGACACTAGCGTGAAAAAATACCTATTTAAAAGCACTAACGTCTGTGTTGGTACGTTACCTAACCACGGAACCTTTGTTTTTTTGCTTAAAACCGTCGCAACACTAATTTACCGACCATAAACAAGGGACTGATGCGGCGATTACGCCGGGGCAAGGCGTTCTGTTAAATTTTATTAAATTAATCCAAATTAATCCGCAACCATTAAAACGGCGACGGCCGCTCGTTAAATTGACCTCTATCACACACGATTTGTGTAACCTTTTTAATGCAATGGGTCGGTTATTAAATTAATGAAAGAGACTCGTTTTGCAATCCTCTTTTAAAGAGGATGTTGTACGACACTCAGTACAAACCTTAACTTTGTTAATCATTGTTAATCACGATTTAATTTGACAATTACAAAAATTGATTTTTCACTTTGAAGAGATCAGCTGTCTCAAGTGAGGCTCAAACCTACGATCATTAGCTTGCCAGACAACTTCATGTCTAACCACTAAGTTACGAAGATATTGGGTTACTGTGTCGAAATTTATCAAAAGAAGAGTTGCTATCCGATGTTATTCCTTAAAAAGCAAAGGAGAAAGAAATTATCCTTAACATCCGACAGAAATGCTGATGCAAATACCTTTTGAGACCTATTTAACGAAACCTGCTTAAAAACCTTCGAAATTAATTTATATGCCGCGTTTATGCTTATATTTTTTGTGCTAAACAATAAAGTGTAAGTAACCGCACCGAACATAGCCTGGCATTAGCATAATCATATTCGAGTGCGTTAAAAATGATCGCATCGCTATTAAATCCGTGTACTGCATCAATAAAGGTACAGAATACGTCAAGCTCTACACTGACTTATGTGGTTGGAATAGGGGTTATTTTGCAATAAAACTGTATAGTCTGATGTGTGGAGTGTACGTCGGTGATCGCGCGCATGATTGAGACGTTAAATTTCAATGCACGAGCATTCGTATGCAAATTCGCTAGAGAGGGCGTGCGCGTGCATCGACGCCTCGCGCCGCCAGAGGGATGCAGATCATCTCCTAAGTTAGACATCCTGCTTAACCATTCAGTAGACTAGACTAATCTGGGAATTTTCTTGTATTCCCAGCTTATAATATAAACTTAAAAACCTGTTGAACGAACGAACGTTGCCTTTTTACTTCAAGCGGTTTACTTATATATTTTTTAACTGTGCATTTAATTAACTGAATTTTTACGGTTCCCGTTCATACAAGCTTTGATAAATTTATCTGTCCATCAGTCACAAATTAATATCACAGAACTACTTTATGGTCGATTTGTAAATTCATAATATTAAGAATCCAAAAAAATCAATACTTTTCTCCACAAGCAAAAACTTCAATATTTGAATGAAATAAATAAGCTCATGGTGTAACTGATTCACAAAGTAGTGACGGCTAATCGGCTTATGCCTACTCCACGCCCAACAACTAGTTAAACTGCTGCATTTCAGAACATACTCTCCGTTTGTCCACAGGTATGGTTCCAGAACCGCCGAGCGAAATGGCGTAAGAAGGAACACACCAAGAAAGGACCAGGGCGGCCGGCGCACAACGCCCACCCTCAGTCCTGCTCCGGGGAACCCATACCTCCTCATGAGCTGAGGGCCCGCGAGAGGTGAGCCACTCACAATCCGTATACTATATAAATAAGTATAAAAAACCTCGAACAGACAGACAGACATATCGAAACTATAAGGGTTCCTTGTCAGGACTACGGAACCCTAAAAATCTTAGTTAGTTAATCTTAGTTAAGGAAATGACCATGACCATGACTCTTCAATGCCTGAAAATTCAAATTGTAGGGTTGAAATGATCAGTGAAGAGCCCTAAAAAACTCAAGTGTTTTTTTATTAACTCTAACGCCCGTATTCACAAACGATGCTTGCTTAAGTGAAGCAGCGAATCGAACGCACAGCATTGAATAGAGCTCTGTGATTGGTTCGTGTGTCACCCTGTGCGACCACGCGCACTGTGAAACCTCATAGTAATGTTTGTGAGAAAAGATAAATCATAGTTTTAATATCTACTTAATTAACCAACTCTATGTTTTCATGCATGCATAGTTAGACAAAGCATAGCAAATCTAATCTAAGCTTACCTCTTTTACCTTTATAATCAAGCCAATCTTACATTATTTCGAAGTGATGACAACCCCATATGTCAAAATTAATTAATTAATTAACAAGCATCAGGTATGTTAAAAATTCGTATCTTCGGGTCAGTAGGACTCCATAAATAAATATTTATAAAAGCCGAAACTTTTTGTTATCCAATCAAAGGCCACATTATTTATGGAACTGATTAATTCAAATTTTAATCAGCCGCTCATTAAGTTTTATAAATCAGGCTTATTATAATACATAATCTGATAATCTTTCTGGTATTGGTTTAAAATTTGAATAAAAATGCGATTGTGACAAATACTGTTGTCATCGAGCTCCGTAGACATGCTATTAGGTTCTATACTAATGAAGCCCTAATGATTTTATCAACAGGGCGAGAAGAAGAAAGAAGCTGGCGAAAGCACTAGACCGGCAGGCGAGGAAGCTGCGGGCTAAGGGCATTGCGGTAGACCTGGAGGCGCTGAAGGCTGAGTACCTGGCCCAGCATCGGAATAGCGGCCTGTACTCTGATTCAGATGGAGACGGCGACGGCGAGGAGTGCATGATCGACGTGGTAGGGGGAGACTCCTGCCACGACTCAGGACCTGAAGACTTCTCGCTGTCAGGGCGGCTGCGAGCGCCCTCTGGCGCTGACGGCATCAACAACTCCGACAGCTCGACCTCAGATGCTCATTCTGGCAGGAACTTCAGCCCCCTCCCCGACCCTCAACCTTCGTTCTTCAAACAGTTCGGCAACCCCGCCGTCGCGTTCGACAAATTCGACTTCGATTCCGGACGAGCGGTCTCCTTAGACCTCAGCGGCGGAGGCACGGCCACCGAGGACCTCTCCAAAAATGGCGGCACCAGGAAATACAACCCGTTCAGTATAGATTCCCTTCTTAATACGTGAAAGTGACTGACAGTGACGTGACTATAGAGGCTCTCCGATACCACCCAGTGACTCTCAGATTCCGGCATTTCGTGAGATGTTCCTTTGCTTTAACGTTAATAAATTGTTAATTATCATTAGTTTTAATCGGCTTCAGTAATAAAGACTTGATAGGTACCATAACAACATATCCAGTGTGAATATTAGATGTAGGCGACTGTATTATATAGTTGTAGTGTATATAGACCACTCCGCATATTTATTTTCGACTTGTTAATAATTTCTACTTTGATTCGGGGCAATAATTTTACTTAATGTTTGTTGATAATGTGGTATTTTATTTTTTGTACGATTTATAAATTTTATTGAGCTGAGACTTATAGAAGTGTGTCATTTTAAGATAATATTTTTAAATCTGAATTATTATGTATTTAATTTGAAGTCTTTACACTTCATTATGGAGAAAAAGTAACAAATCATCTCATTTTGATCTCTTCATTGTTTATTGTAAGTTTTGGCAAATTGTAACAGCAAAATCTATTTAAACCTTTCTTTTTATTATTATATGTATGGATTCTCGAGTCCTGTACACATAGGTACATAGCATAATATGACCTAAGACTAAACAGACGAGGATGTAAACAAAATTTCAAAAACATGTCAGTGAATTTTAGCTTTTTGAGTTACGGTGTGAGTTAAATGTTAAAATTTAGCCAATCTGTTCCTCTTTAAAATTAACTCCTACTCAGTACTATTTTTGGCAATCTTTGTAAGTCAATAATGGTGATGACTTTAAACTTTCCGTCGCCATAGTAATTTGAACAAACATATTATAATATTTGATTGCAAAGTAAAATGTTAAGGTCACCGAGACAGTTCAGTCTCTTTTTAGTGGATTTTTATCAGACCGAAATACCGAATACTTCAAGACTACCACAGTCTATTTCGGAGATCTCTTAAGTTGTTAACACGTAGATACGGACGACAGCACATCAAGCTTACACAGTGGGGTCTTATCTCGTTGTTATACAGGCTATTTTGCAACTAAAATGTATAGTATGATGTGCTTTAAACCCCATAGTATCCATAAACGGTTCCACATTACCTGTTCCTGTGCATAATTCAATTTTATGTGCGAATTACTGGCAGATGCTTTACGAATTACAATTACCGCCGCACTACTTCAATTGGTCGTTAACTAAACTCCGAGGTAATTACACTAATTACAATTGTAATCTTTGACTGTTGTATGATTATGTCTGTTTGTTACGCCTTCACAACTATTATACTAACTTATTTATTAGTTTTTCTGTAGAGTTTATCTTTTGCATGCGCTACGATGCGATCAATCTAAAGAAAGCTATCGTTAACACTTAATTTGCTTTAAAAGGCTTAGAATTATCTTCGAAGCCATTAAATTGAATGCGTAAAAACTTAAATAAATTAAATTAACAGGACCAATTCGAGTTGGCATTCTTCATAATCTAAATGATATTTCCACAAGAAAATGGTATCATCTATTTCTATTGATAATAATCAATATACTCAATAGGCCCTCAGTTATACCTAACATGTACTAATGTGCCCAAGTAATACCAAAGTACTCATACTTATTATGTGGTAATATTCAGTTTAAGCAATTACAAGCAATTATGCTTATGGCCAAGCAAAGCCACTGGCTTTAACTAGCACACCATTATTTGCTAACTCCGTTACAATTACTCTAGATAGACTGTCCCTCCAACAGGCGAGTCCATTCTGCTAAATTAATCGTTATTTTGCGCCTTGAATTAGGCTTATGTACACGGCCAGTGTTTATTAATGACGTTAATTACAACGAATGAGGACTATCTAATTGGTCTGTAATACTCGTTTTTACATAATGGGCATGTTTAGTTGATATCTACATTGCTGAGTTTATAGTTATTACGAGTGTAACATAGGAATTAGTATAGCATGTTCATTGAAAAACAAAAGAAACGCTATTCAAAGATTTATAAACAAATGATAGTTTTAAATATGAAACCGTGCTGATACAGTCAATCTGGGTAATGTTGCCCATCAGTATATCATTGGCTTAAAATATTTGCGAATTTAGTGCTTTTTCGCTTTGATTTTGTATTTTTAAAAAGCTTTGTGAACAACGAGTCAAAGATACAAAGCTTATTTTAAAAAAATACAATCAAAGAGTTAAAAAAAGTTAGGTACCTAAATGCGTAATTATATTTTGCGCTGTTATACTGATATCCAAAACTAAGTACTACTAGATTGACTATAATTTCAGATTATTTAATAGTTTCTTTATTAGATAATACCTACTTTGAAGTTCGCAATTCGGCGTTAATCTGCAAGTTTTGAGATTCGGATAGCAACAAAACTTTAATATAGAACACTAATTGCTAAAGTTGTCTGTATAAATAACAACAATCGTTTATCTGAATTTTTGTTATGTCTACGATATCATCTGTGTCTACCTAATTATTTTCAAAAAGTATTACATCGTGTGAAACATGTCATGATAGAGTTCTAACCAATAATCCACATTGAACCACCAAGACCCAATAATATAGGATTACAAATGCGCATAATGACGATTAGTCAAGTCATACTAATTGATAGGATATCTATAATTTCCGATTACTATGCCGCAATAATGACATTTGCATATTTGGCCCCGTCTGATGATGATGTAGGTATGGAGCAGGGATGTTATATTCATAACATTATGTTAATATTATTATTATTACGGTTACGGATATTCATCCGTAACCGTAACCGAAACTATCGGATATCCGAAATAAAAAAATATCCGTAACCATAATCGAAACCGATTCAAAAGTTTCGGATGGTTTCGGATAAAGGCAGTCTTAAATAATAATATTTTTTTATATTTGTTACTTGTCTGGAACCATCTGACCCTGCCTGTTTTACCTTATTCATAGGTGCCGTCTTAGTAAGTACTTACATAAATTTTTGCTATGTGGGCCGCGCAGCATCTAGAATTTTCGTTCGTTTCAGCCAAATGACGTCCACTGCTGGACAAAGGCCTCCCCCAAGGTTTTCCACAATGAACGGTCCATGAATGAATTTGAATTTTACATTTTTAAAAATCTGATATCCGTAACCGAAAATATCCAAAACTTTCGGATAATCCGAAATGATTTCATATCCGTAACCTTAACCGAAACCGGTATAATATTATTCTAATATCCGTAACCGTATCCATAACCGAAACTTCATATCCATAACATCCCTGTGAGTGGCTTTGCAGGACTTAGTGATTGATAATAATAGATACTGATCACAAGTTTTTTATTCCACTTTAGTAGAAAAAAGGCTTTCTGCTTTAGTTTCTACATTAATTGAGTTGTTGATGAGATAATTGATCTGCGGTAATTGCAGTTTTCTAATAACTTTATGAATTATAATAATGTTACTTTTACAAGAATTACCTTTAAAGGCGAACGCTTTCTTTAGATCTAATAAAGAATTTATAGCCTACAGGCACAGAATTTCCGTTACTTATTCCAATGAATATAAATCAAGTATTAATAGTATAAATCAAGTATCAAGATCCTTTAGTCAATATTTTGAAAGCTTATAGGTTCAAAGAAATGCCTACACTTTTCAGATAAATCTAGGTTCAAAATACCTAACTAACATTATTAAAAATGGCGTCGCGACAATTACTCGGCGAAAGAAACACAATCGGTTGTCGTAAAACAAGAATTAATGAACTTTGTAATGCGAAACTCCGATAAGGGGCCAATTAGCAAAACAACATGGCCGCCGCGACTTTACATCGGTGCCTGCGCGTGCGACTGACGCGTTAAATATAAATAAATATGGCATAATCATATCGGCTTATCATAATATTGGTCTTAAAATAGAGTAGGTAGCTGTCACACAAAATTCATAAACCCAATAAGTATAAATAATATTTTGAAAAGCTCTATTATACGCCACAATAAAACTTTTTTTTTAATTTTGTGATATTATTGTGGATTTATCATATTGTAGGTAAATCTCTCTCACGATTGGTTTTCTAAAGACTAATAGTTTCGCGTTATTTCCATAGTGTTATTAAAATATTGAGTGGGTAATACAGGGTGGCCCAGAAGAAAGTTCACTTTTGAAAATTCAAGGAAACGAAAACTGTACATTTTTTTAAAGGAAATTTAGTGCAATTTATTTTAAAATTTACTTTCTTTTATCAATTTTATCGTACATGTGATTCCCTTGACGTTTACAACATTCGGTCAACATACATAAAAAATTTTGGAAAACTTTCGTTAGAGTTACCTCGAAATGGATTCAGGATGAATGAATGCTGCAGAGTTTTTGGATTATGAGAGTATACTCTGCTCATAAGGTAACCCCACAAAAAGAAGTCTGCTGGAATGAGATTAGCGCTTTTTAAAGGCAGTGAGATTTCACCCCTGCTTAATTGGTTTGTTGCATTGAAAGGATGATTATTTTTTGAGAGCGGCTATACTGGTAGGCTGAAAAGCTTCTTGATTTCAAAGCTGCAAGATTCGCAAGGCTATGACCGGAGCACTTGGTTTCATCAAGATGGGGCTACGTGTCACACTTCAAATGAGAGCATTTAGATGGTAAGAGACATGTTCCCACAAAAAAATATTTTCAGGCAGGGGTGAACTCTCCTGGCCACCAGGAAGCCCTGATCTCACTCCAGAAAATTCTTTTTTGTGGTGTTACATTAAGAATAGAGTATACTTTTATAATCCAACAACTATGCAGCAACTAAAGCTGAACATTCGGCAAAAAATTGAAAATAGGTTTTGAGGTAATTCTAACGAACGCATTTCAAGATTTTGATGTATGTTGATCGAATGTTGTATACGTCAAGGAAATCTCCTGGGCGATGTTATTAAATAAAGTTAAATTTAAAAATAAATTCCATTAAATTTCCTTTAAATTGCAATAGTAAAAGTTCTTTAAAAATGTACAGTTTTCGTTTCCTTGAATTTTCAAAAGTGAACTTTCTTCTGGGCCACCCTGTATCTTCTATTTGAATAAATCAACAATATTTTTTTCATGAACATATTTACATAATTATTTTAAAAAGCTAAAATTCCATACTTACAAATACAACGAAGCAGTGTTCAATAACAAAATTAAAACCCGTTACAGAAAAGATTTTCAATCTTTTAATTGCTAATGAAAGTTTTTGTTATCAAAATATTAATTATTAATATTGAGGTCGAAAAAATCGCACGACAAAGTCGCCGACGCATAAAAGTCCGAATTACACGCTGCATAATAATGTTCGAGTCGATTGGCTATGGCATCCATTGTCTGGAGTCACCGACACGTAAAATGTCCATTTTATTTATATGGCTTTCTCGTCAGCACTAATTGTGAGAAAACGCAATGAAAACTGCCACAATTGCGCTT